TAAGCTATAACACAGAAAATCGCCCGTTCCTTTCTATAAAATACCCTATTACTCACTTCAGTATTTGAATATGACATTTCCTTGCCAACTTAGGTCACAGGCCTATTTTACAAGGTAGTCAGCACTGGAAATGCTTCTGTTCCTCCTTTAAGAGATTTTGCCTCACCAGATACAGCTCCTCCAGTCCATTCCCCCTTCACTTTCATGAGTTTCTGATAACTTTTCATACAACCCCACTCATTACCATTTGAAAATCACTGAACCAGACATTATGTAGAGACACTGATCTGCAGGTTGGAGAACTTAAACCCCCTTTCCTTTTCCCAAGTGTGCTCATTATCCTGTGAAAACCCTGGGAGGGAGCATTATTTTTCCCTCGTACTTCTTCCCTCTGTGGAAAGCTCAGTCAACTGCACGGTGTCATCCTCTCTGCCTCTCCTTCCACCACGTCCCTTGACAGCGACCTCCTCTCGCAGCGTAGCATGGCAGGGAGCTGTTCCTTGTTTGGGATGCTTAGAACAGCAGAAGGGCTCTGTTTGTGGCTCGTACAGAGAAGGTGGCAGGAAAGGGAAGGGTTTTGCTGACAGCCATGCTCAAAGGCTAGACCAAGCAGCAGTTGTACCTCCCCTACCGAGGCACTGCCATGGAGATCACAGGAGAAGGTAAACCAAAGAGCACTCTTAAAAAAATGGGGAAACTGAGACACCGTAGCCTCCAGAAGGTGCCAGGGGAAGGAGGCAGCATGTTCTCGCCTGCACTGGAAGAATTTTTTGCATTCTTCTTTGACTAGTCTTCATTTTAGCCTTCCTTCATCCCATGTAACAACAGCCGTCCAAACTTGCCTGAGCGAAAGGGCAGAGTCACCCTAAGTGCCCTCTCAGATTTACTCTATCACTAAGGGCTCCAGAATAACAGTCAGGGTGTTTGCATGCTGCATACTACAGCCATATACCCTGCACAGCTGTGGTGGGGGTTTTATTTCTAGATCATTGCTGACTATTGCGCTTCTGTTCCTTGTTATTTCTATGGAATTTTCTAATTGAAAAAAAAAAAACAACCCAAACTTTTTTTACATTGCTGTGTAGAAAATAAGAGTCTTCTAACACCAAGCAGAACTAATCTTTGTATCAGTTTGTTGCAATGGGTTGTACTTGAGACTAACCCTGAAGATTGCTTGGAATCTGCTGCTGGCACTAAACATAGCTACCAGCCTGCTGGGAAAGGATGGTTATCAGCCACAAGGAGACTATTACACCAACTTTCTGGAGGCTGCACTGACTTCTTATTTGCTTCCAGATGCAGGTAAGGTGGCTGATGTTGGCTGATAAAGTCCCTTTTGATTTGGGCACTGCCTGAGCATGGTGCAGATCAGCGGAATGCTCTTGCAAATCGTCCCCAGATCCGAGTAACTGGAGTCCTTCTTGTGGAGGCTTCCCATGACTGGGTTTAGTCTCCTCCACTGCCACGCCATAACCTGAGTCTGCAGACAGTCAGTGCACCCCACAGGGCCCATGCATTTAACTCAGCCTTTTTCGGTATAATTCTGGGGTACAGCAAGGAGAGAGTGCCTTGATTGGAGCTGTTTATATTTGGTCAGGTAGCAGTCTAATGTCTTCCAGGACTGTATAAGCAAATTTTTACCTAATATTTCACTTGACTAAAACAGAAAGCTGAACAGCTTGGAGATAAAACTTTAGTCAGACTGCTCAAAATGATTTAGTTTTCAAAAGAAAAGAAACACTTTACTGTAAAACAAGCATGAGGGGGGAAAAATGTGATTTTGATAACCATTCAAGGTTCATACAAAATATGAATGCAGATAGGAGACTGTTCCAAGTTCTCCATCACGCTCAAGGGAGACCTAATCTGCTTCAATGACTGGTTCCTAGGCATAGTTCAGGATCAGTGCTCCTTCCTCCTTCTTGAGTTGGTAGCTGTTCCTGATACCAAGAACCGGATCTGCCTCCCTGGAAATCCTGTTTCCCTTTGCTTCCAGACTCATGTCTTTCCCCAGTGCTTTTTCGACCTCTGCAATTGCTAGATCAGTGCACGTTGCAGAGTATCCTTCCTATTTCACCCTTCAGGCTTCTGTGAGCATCCCCTGTGTTCTGCTCTTTCTCTTCTCCCTCTTATCTGTATAGAATCTTATCCGCAAAAATTATTCAACTAATAATTCATTGTGACTGTTTCTTGGATCTGCTTATCCTCTCCAGACCATTGCTCTCCTGTCCAAATGAATACCTCAGCCTGTCTCTGTGACACTTCTTTACTGGTGCTGACCCTTCAGTTCAAGATCAATACGGCAAGAATTAAAGTCTTAATAATTTCTCCCTGAGTGCTCAGTCCATATTATTTGCTCAATAATGGTGGATCGCACCATCATCTTTCCTGTCCTTCAGGTTCATGATTTAGGTATCATTTTCACCTGTGGGCACTCTCTTTTGAGCTATATTTAAATCTTCTAGATTTTTTCTCCTGCACAATATCTAAAAGCATTCCCCATCCATCCACAAAGTCTGGACTCATCCCCATTCTCAGCACCTCAGTCACTACAGTGCATCGCTACCTGCTTTTCTCCCTGGCCTGTAATGTAACCTTGTCCTATGCGTGCCCACTCAAAATGTGCTGCAAAGATCCCTTTCTCTGCCCAGCATTTTAACCTTGAAGCTTTCTCTGGGACTCTTTCTGCCTCCCCCTCCTGTCAACTGTCTTAGTTTATTAACTCGAACAAATGTAAGCTGCTTCTGTTCTTGTGGCAGGTCAGTCCTAGCCTGTCTCTCCCCCATGCTGGAAATGTCGACTTTCAGCTTTAGCAATTAATGATGCCAGCCTTTTTCATTTGCCTGCTCAACTCAAAGAAGCACCTTTGTGCTGTTTCCAAAGTTGTCCCCCGTGCTTGAGAGGGGCTCCAAGAAAACATCTCCAGAGTTACTCTTGTCTGGCTTTGTATCACTCTGAAGTTCTCTGCTTTGATGTAGTGCCCACAAAACGGTATCAAAGTGCAGCGCCAAGACCACTGCCTCACACGCCGGCTCTCCTGGCTCCTTTGTACTCCCTTTTCTACTTGTATTCACCCGTTGTTTCTTGCCAGGCTCTTTGGGATGATCATGACTAGGGCACCTACGCCCTAAGATAAAACAAAACAATTACTACCGATGCTTATTGCAAATCCCACAAAGGTTGTGGTTCTCCTCCCCCTCCGGTCCTCCCAAACTTTGCTCTCTAAAACAAAGGTGAGATAAATATGCTCAGAAGTCACGGTAATCTAGTGCTCATTACTGATCATGGGATAAAGTCAGAGGAGGCAGAGAGTATGCGTTCATATGCCCTATGCGAGTAAAACAACAGTATTCATTATGAATTAATGAATTAAAAACCTAAAGTTGGGAAATACTTATGAAAAGCCTTCTCTGCATGTCACCCTTAGTGGTACATCTGAACAGGGGATCACACGTGGATGGGCAAAGAACAGAAGGCAGTTGACTTGGCCACCGTTCCCCTGTATCCGCTTAACTACTGTTGCAGTAATTTGTTTTTCTACTTCATAGTTCCATCTCCTCCTGCTTGTCTGATGTCACAAAAATCCAGCAACTGTGGCAGTTTGCACAATGCATGTTATAGCCTTGTGTTCGTGTACCACAAATTCAGCATTCTGGATTCATTCATGACTCAGATTGGAGGAGAAAATAGCCTGGGATGGCACAACCCCTTGATTAAAGCTTTAGGGCCAAATCAACAACAGCTGAGGATCCAGCCCATATGGCCCGAGATCTTTAGCTGTGTAAAGGCTGCAGGAATGGGCCCAAATAGCTTTGGTAATTAGCAAATACCATATAAAATAGATTAAAAGTCTTTGGCAGGGAATGCATATTGAGCAACATTTGAAAATTATTCATAGCATATTAGTATACTTCTTTAGAGATAAAACTCAATGGCATAAAAATAATTTGGGAGGGGCAACTGTAGTCTATCACATGACTGTCAACAGGCAAATGCTTTCTTGGATGGATCGGTATTTACAGTTACCTTCAGTCAATGCGACGAAGGGCAGAGGTGACCATCTAACACCTGGGGCCTGATCCTACAAGCTGTTCTGCCTCTGCAGAAGTGTCCTCGTGCCTGGTGGGGACTCTTCAGCCAAGCTGCCTCCCTGTGTGCAGAGAGCTACCGCTCTTGGGTAGGTTATTGCAGGGCACCCTGTACTCCTCAGTGCCTCGGTCACCCAACAGCACCCAGAATGATGCCCAGGGACGTCCACAGCAGCAGGATTGAGCCTGCTCATATCTAAATTCACCAATCATCGTGCCGTGTACAGCAGTAAACAATAACACAGCAATTAATTACCCTGGTGTAGCCATAAGAGTTACTTCTCACAGATTATGGTAAGCAGCATCCAGTGTAGAATAAATCATTTTTCGTGCAAACTCTGAGGAATGGCATGTTATAAAATCACTCCTGATAAAAATCTAATGAAAATGTAAAACATCTCAGTGCAGTCTCCTGGGTAGAGTCAAGATCATATTAAAACCTCAAGAGACAACGGTCAGGGATTTCAATGAGAATCAAGAGACAGTTTTCCCAGGATGAGCTTGTTAACCTGATATAAAGACATGATACTGATTTGATGGCTTTGTCTCTTTCGCTGTTTCCGTCATGGAGCCTATTTTTAATTTAATCATATTCCATTAATTTATTTAAAGGCTTTATTCATCACAACAAAATCTTTTTTTTTTAATAAAAGCAGATGTTGTTGAAGTACTGAGAGTATAATCCAGCATGCAGAATGTCACACGCAGCACAAGTCTGTTGTCATTGCATTTGCAAAAGTTTTTCAAGAAGACTAACTAATAAAGTCACTCTCCCACTCCATTGTAAAGTTCCCTGCGACTGGTTTTTAAACATTTTGAAATCAGCCCTCTTAGTAAGACATCATGATCTAGCAGTCTCAGGCAGGACGTGTCAATGACAGTAACCATTTTTAAATGTTCATTAGGATTTACCTGCTGGTGGCTTTATGAAAGGTGGTGGAATTAATGGGACAATAATAGGTACATTCCCGTGATCCTTCGACCCTGCTGGTGAGTCTGAAAGTCCATTTCCTGTGGCAAGCCCTGGGTAGCTTGGGTTTATATTGTACGGTGAAATAACACTGTCCTCAGGTAATTTTGGTTTTGGCAAAGAATTTTCTGTAAAACACAAAGAACACATTGTACAGTATGACAAATGTATTTCTTAAATGCCCCTACATCCTTTCACCAATCTGTTCATTAAATTACTTACCCTAATACAAGAAGAGTGCACAAAACCCCCCAGATATTTTCCCTTTTAAAAAATTGATACTTTCCAGCAGTCTTCAGAAATGCTCCATTTTTTTAAAGCAAACTCAACTAGTTTTTTGTTTGGGTTTTTTTTTCCCCCAAAAGGTGGGATTATTTTGTCATGCATATCCTCAGTATGTCTGACTTAACCAATGACATCCTATTCCTGTCCTTTACTGTTTGCATGGTGATCACACTTAGTGTACTGTGACTTAAAAGAATTCCTAATTCTCTATCAATAATATGAGTAGTAGTAACGGGAAGGATTTAAAGAAAGGAATGAAATATTGGAATTACAGCAAAATGTGCATGAAATGATGACAGTTGTTGTTCTAATTCTTTAATCCTGAATCACCTCAGGATTCTTATTTGTAGGAATTTCTCTAATGCACCTCAGTTAGCTAAGGGGCAGGACTTAATTCTTATTGTTCCCTCTCCTCTCATCTCTCAGAAAAAGAAACACACTTTTTTCCCCTCCCACAGACTGCGTACACCAAAAATTTCTACCCGTCGCAGGTATTCGATATCTTTCTTTGGTACATAAAACATATCATGTATTGTGTGACTATAAAAAAAGTACATCACAAATTTCATCAGGCATAGACTGGAGCCACAAATCATTCCATAAAAGATCCATGTGTTAAAACATAAATAAATGAATCACATTAATACACAGAACAAGTTTCTTCAAAGGCGGCTTAATGACATTGCCTTTTCGGTGAAAAATAAATATTGATCGCCAATGTCACTACGGAACTAACAAGCTACAAACATTCAATTTTAACACGATTAGGTTGTTTCACCTTACCTCTAATTTTTCCACCTTTTTTCTAGCCATCCTTCCATCAGAACCGGTCTCCCTGGTATCAGTGCTCATTGCAACACTCACTGAATACAGTACTGCTGCTGGCCATCAGAAAGAAAACCCAAACGCTGCTGGCCACAAACACAGTGAAAAGTGGCAGTCCAAGAGCGTAAAAGCGGCTGCAATTTCCTCTCTTTACCTCACCTTTGAGGAACTCTTGTCGGGTAAGTCAGGAGGCAGCAATCTCCTACCCTTCTCTTCACTCTGACAACAAGTCCCTACCCATCCCCTGTGACTGAGCAGTCAGAAGGCAGCAACTGAACGGCTGGACAAACAGACTGCATCAAAATTCACCTTTTGAATCAAGATCCAGCACTGTCCCAAACAAACTCCATCCCTGGAGAACTTCTACAGCACTTGCAGAAGACAGTACAGCACCAACATGGATGAGGAGCCTTTTGTGAACATTCACGCTCGTTTCTACACACCTTGTGAACATTCCAGCCCCAAATCTCTCAGCGTTTTAAAAAGCCATAGGCCAGAAAGCCTTAGTTTTGAAAGCAAAAGGGTTCCTTAAAGCCACACTGCTAAGAAAGCACTCCCTCTCTTTTCCAGTTGTGAGCAGTTTATTGGTACCGCAGGTACATGACTTTCAATTGACTCACAAAAGGTATTATTTGTGAAGATATATTAGCAAGTGCCTACTAACAGCAATTTTGTTAAGTGATTTTCCTCATACCGTGTTGGCTTCCTTGTACTAGAAGGCACTCTCCAATATTTTTATGCATACCAGCCATGAAGCAAGCAGCTGAACACGCTCCCCAATCCACGCCAGTTCGGATGGGTTGAGATATTAATCCTTCTTTGCATGAACACAGAAACATGAAGTCTCATTACCTTTGAGAACAGAAATGTGCTGGCGGCTTTCCCCGTCTGCCGAGTAGTTCCTGAATTCAATATCTTCTCCATCTTTCAATTCAACCTTATCATAACCATACCAGCCAAGGAGCTCATTCATAGTGTTTTCTGCAAAGTTCTGAAAGAGAAAAATTACCTACTTATTTATGTAATCAATAACCATTTGGAAGGAAGGGAGGACTGCATAAATCGAACCATATCTGTGCTACATGAGGAAGTGTCAGGTTTGGCCCACCTCCTCAAAGACTAATGTTCGTTTCATAAGTCAAGTGCATAAAGTGTAATGCATTTAAATCTCCAACTGGCACATGTAATTGTGACAGAGCCTCATACGTCTGTAATTTAAAGAAAATGAAAAGGAGAGTTATTTATGACTTTTGCTCTGGCATTCAATGTCAGAAATATTTTAACATATATTCGTCACACAAACTTGTCTGTGTTGCCATAAAATATTTAAGACTGCAGCAAGAGAATAACAGAAAAACCAGGATTATTTTTTTTTTCCAACCAGCAGTTAATCAATCTTACTGCGCCACAGTCTTTTCAGCTGGAGCAGGTCACTGACACAATTACAGTTCCTTGAGGTGCCCATGAACCAAATCAAATAAAATCACAGCGAAGACGTTTTTCCTCAGCGTTATAAGCCCTTGCGTAGCCAAACCACTTAAAGACTCTTCATCATGAAAGCATTTTACCATACTGTTTCATACAAGCATCTCATATATTTGTTTAAGAAAACCTTTCTCCGTTTTGCCATATTTATTTTCAAACTGATTTCCAAGCAGCCGTGTGGTTACATTTTATGTTTGCATGGAAGTGCAAAATATGGAACATGACTGTCATGACTCTCGAGTTCTATTAAAAACACGTCCTCTAGGTCATGTGGCAAAAATATTTCTGTAGAAAATGCTCATTACCGGGCTAGGAGATTTAGTGGAGTAAGTTAAGAAATCTGCAGCCAGGCAACAAAGCTTTCTGAAACCAAATAGCGCCATGGAGCTCTACAGCTTATGGATTTAGGAAACTACCAAAGGAAACCAGCTAATGAATTATTGCGACGGCAAAGATCAGTTTAAAGTCGTACGACAGCTATAAAATGAAGCAAAAAAGCCACACACAAAGCCTCTCTATTTGGTCTCCACATTTTTTTTTTTATTATCACTCTTTTAAAACAAATTCCAAATTTCATTTTCCTGTAAGATCTTGACATCTGAAATAATGTTCCTGATAAGCACTGTCTCCTGGGACTCTGGCTACCAGCAAAGGAATAAGGAGAAGACAACACCAATTCAAAACAAATGGTACGTTTCAAATTTGCAGGTTGCTAGATTTTGTCTAGTAACTGCTCTCGCTTCATTTTTGAGTGGGAGCAAGCCTAAGGATAGAACACAGCAATCCTCCTGTCATTTAAATAAATAAATAAAATTAGTCAGATGGTAATTGCTTCCGAATTCAAAGCTACAAGCAGGCACTCGGCCCCAGAACGCCAGAGCGCTGCACCGCTCCTGGCTCATTCATCACACCAGATTGCATAGGTGTTCCTGTCACTCAAGGAGCCCCATAAAGCAGCTATAAGCAACAAACACAAGCAATTTGTACTCTTCCAGGAGTATCATCTGTGCAACTGTGCTACAAACACATGTTTCAGGAAAAGAAAAACCAAAACCAAACCCCACAGCAGACCCCTGGAGCATTGATTTCCTTTTGTTTTTTCCCCCCCTTTCATTTTCACTTGATCTCCTGCTGGAAGTCTTGATTCTGTGGCTGTCCTGTACAGCCCCGAATTGCCAGAAAACATTGCATCGTTCCACCTCTACCTCTAGTGTCAGCATTTTAAGTACGACAGCCCGTTACGTCTGAACTATGTCACTACTACAGTTTGCAGCAACAAGTGCAATGCAGATTAATGTGGCTAACACCTACACTCACTTCTAAAATACGTATTTAAACTCTCATTTGAATGATGCGGTGTTGCAAGTGTTTGAAATACTAGCAAAAACGGGAAGTTTCTCTAAAGTTTTTTTGTCTGGTTTTTAGCTTTTCAGAAAACTTCTCTCCCAGTGCTGAAGGTCCCAAAGCACTAACCCTGCCTCTAACCCATGGGAATCCAACAACAAAATGACCTGGAGATGGGGAGTGAAACCTCACCACTGCAGCTCACCCGGAATGACCTGACGGGGTCCACAGAGGCCCAAAGGCAAGCTCTGCCAGCTTCCCTTGCTTTGCTAAATTTCAGCGATGGAGACGCAGCCCTAGAGACTAATCTAGCTAGGTAGAAACCAATTGACAAAGTCTTCCTGACTTATATCCCATGCAACCAAATTAACTGAGTAGCTCTAAATTTGCCTCCTGTGGATGCTTTGTGTTTTATTTGCACTGTTGATCAACTCAGGCAATGAGTAATTTCTAATTACTTGTCAAGGAATATGTAAGCAAGGCTGTATGTATGTTTATTTTTTCCTGGAAATTCATACATGTATATGGCTCTTCAGAATCTAGTCAAAGCAATGGTAGAATCATAGAATCATAGAATCATAGAATCATAGAATCATAGAATCATAGAATCATAGAATGTTTTGGGTTGGAAGGGACCCCTAGAGGTCATCTAGTTCAACCCCCCTGCAGTGAGCAGGGACACCCCTAACTAAATCAGGTTGCTCAGAGCCCCATCCAACCCTGGTTGGGTTTGTTATGGCACAAAGTTTAAATACCTTTCCAGTAAATGAGAATTTTTACTACCCATGATGAGTGATGCACAAAAAATGAACACTCATAATGACAAAAAAATACATTTGATTTTGAAATTAACCATCACAGAGACTTGACTCTTAAAAAAAAAAATCACTGGGGTCTTTCCTACTAACTTCAATGAGAGTACAATGAGGTTGCATCAGTAGTAACAAAAGCAAGCACCTTCTTAACACTGTGATTTCTCAGCAAGGATGCTTGGATAAAAAAAAAAAACCAAAACAACAATTAAGCCATTCTCCTTCATAATTTATCTTACCTATTACAATGATGCTGATCACTCTTAACACTATTCTGTCAGTGGCTAACAGCCAGGGCTTCATTACACAGCACTTAATACATAGCAAACCAAGAGGATGACCCCATCCTTAGCAAGCTGGTAGTCAAAGCTGAGAAATGTTTTCTTCCACACTAACTCTCTCGCATCAATGGGCATCCACAGAACTACATCACCTTCCCTCAGACTCCTGACTATACTACCCATTTGCAGCCATGTCTAACATCCCGTCAGTACAGGTGATGGTCACACAGGTCAGGTCCTTGCTGAAGCCACTGCCCCAACCACTATTATTTCATTGTTTCCATGTATTCTCCCTTCTTCCATTTCAATGGTAGGCCCCATCTGTGTAGATTTGAGCTATGACAACAAGATAGGCTTTGTAAAGACTAGTGTGGTGGCAACAGTCAAAACACAAATGATGAGATGGGACGATTTTTTTCTCCCATGTGAATGCACAGGGGGAAAAAAGAAAAAAAAAAAAAAAAAAAGGCAAAGAAGCTCAGTTCTTGATGAAGTTAAGGAAAGGAAGCAAGCCAATTAATACACAACCTGCACATGCAGAGAAGAACCTCACTGAAAGATGTACAAGTTTCAAAGGCTTACTGAAAGGAAGGGTGATGACTGCAACAACGGCGCTTTAGAAAAGCAAGAACGTGGGACCTGAGGTTGGAGCAGGAGAGCAGAAGAAGCACTGATGAAGCAGGCTAACAGGAACCAGCTGAACTGGAAGATGATGGACCTGCCAAAGCCCAGGGAGAAGATGTGAAGATGAGTGTGGATGACCAGAGGGAAGATGTGCAAGGAGCTGCAATTCCAAGCTTTTCCAGGAACAGGACAGCAGAGGCCCTGAGCTAGTCCCTGCTTACTTTCAGACTCAATCCCCAAAAGGATGCAGAGGGTCTGCAGGGTGGAGGCTGCCACCCCAACCCCACATCCCTGCCAGAGGGCTAGGATGATGTGAAAGACTAGCACACCAGGGAAAAACTTGCCCATCATCAATAAAATCCCAAGTCAGCAATCACACTGCTAAGCTGAGACCCTTGAGCCCAAAGCAAATCCCACTGAACCCAAAGGAAGCCCTGCAGGGGTCCGTGGATTTCAATGCAAAACAGCACTACTAAGGAAGCTACCTTAGCCCTGCCGGGGAGGCAATGGCAATAGAGAAACCAGGAGACCGAGCCCTGGTGCCACTCACAGCGTGGGCCAGCATCAGAGCCAAGAAGACGAGCGCAGAAATCCTACCCTATGTCCACACCACACTCTGCCTCTCATGCGTGCACCAAGCAGCGGTGGAAACACCGATAACCTCTCCCACTGCCAGCTCATCCAGTTAACATCCCACCAGAGCCGAATCTCCGGTGCCCCTCTAGCTGACAGCCCACCATGGCAGCTGCCTGATGGCCAGGGCATTCACTATGGCTCCAGCACAACCAGCTCACCCCTGCCAAAGAAACTGGCCCGAAAAATGCTCCAGTGGCCCCAGTCACACAACACCACCAAAGCCCTCCCTTCCTAATAGACAGCAATTCTTCTTTTGCCCCCCCTGCTAAGTCCCAAACCACTTATCCCCACTGCGGGGCAATGTGTAATTTGCATGTTTTAACTGCGTGATTTCTCTATTCTTGTACCATACAGACATATCTTTCCTCCTGGAAGAGCCAGGATAACTAACTAACTATTATGCTCGCTGGTATTTTGACTTGAATTTGCTTCCTATTCACGGGAAAGATGAAGAAGAGTGTGTTGACTCGCCAGACTCTGGTTTCTCTCCTTTGTGAGACTGACTTATACGCTAGGCAGTAAAAATATAATCACATTTATTCCCGCTTTAGGATTCATTTCATCATAACAGTACACCTACAGCTCGATTCTTTACATTGCAATGCATCATTTTCCCAACTCTTTGCTAATTAATACATTCTGAAGCTAAGCCACGCTTCTCTTTCCATCTCAGACCTCTTGCCTTTCCTTCTCTATGAACCTTATTCACAGGGGGCAAGGCCTGGCTTCACCGAACGAGGCCTGGCAAACACGGAGGCAGGAAACGCAGGGGAGAATGAGTCTGTCAGACTCATTTTCTTCTA